CACAAGTATGCAGAATTAGGATGAGCATCTCTAAACACACACTCATTCCTATGCTTCCAAAGAGATCAGAGAACTACCAGTGGAATTGCTTCCCAAAATTTCCTAAGTGGGCGCTTAAATTTACCACCCTTCTTCCACCAATTGAACAAGGTTGCCACAGATTATGGGATACACCAATAGAGCCCCCAGTCATATAACATAGATGACAAAATGGTCCAAGAGAAATGGCAATGAAGCAAAACATGAAAAGCAGATTCAAGAGCCATTTTGCAGAAAAGGACATAAAGGAGAAACATTGTTGCCAAGAATACCAATATTGAGCAAAAACATAACTATTTTGATTATGTTTTTCCATGCTAATCATCCAAAAAAATGAACTTTGGGAGGTAAAATATTGCTCCAAACGAACTTGATAATGATGAGATGAGGCCCAATGAGAGAATTGCAAAGAGAATATAAAGAAGACATGGAGATAACACTAGAACTTGAGGCTGCAGAGGACCACACCAGGCTATCAGCACTGTTAAGGCTCAAAGAGGAAGCAGAGGATAACATTATAATCAAACTAGCTTTAACGGCCACTTCCCTTCCTAGGCATACAGGACTCTTCTATAGGGAAAGTTCCAGACTGTAGTGTTGGTTTTCTTGGCATAAAATTGTTGAAGAGATCCATTCTTATCAGCAGACAGGTTGAAGGGAGAAGGGAACTCATCATTGAGATAGACAGATCCACACCACTTATCATGCCAAAATTTGATACGATTACCGTCCTTAACCTTGATTTGGCAGTTTTCCAAGAAGAAATGAAACGTATTCGAACTATGAACCCCTATAAAGGTAATGTCCTTCGATACCCTAGAGTGCTTGTAGGAGGATTGCACAGGACAATGCCAAGACTCTACCTCAATTTTATACTTGATGTAAATAACTTTTCTCCATTATGCTGAAATTTGATTTCCAAATTTCCACCACCGTTTAAGAAACAAGCATGCATTAACATCCCTAATCCTTCTGATGCCCAAGCTCCCTTAGGAAACACTCTTTGTAACCTCAACCCATTTTACCAAATGAACTTTTCTTTTTAGACCATTACCACCGCACAAAAAAGCAGCCTCAATTTTTTCAATTTCACGAGCCACACCTTCAGGCATCTTGAAGAGGGAAAGATAGTACACAGGGAGACTCGAGAGGACAGACTTGATCAAGGTTAACCTCCCTGCAAAGGACAGCATTTTCCTCTTCCAGCCTGATAGTCTAGATCTAATATTATCAAGCACAGGCTTCCAGGTTGATTTTCTACCTGGGTTAGCTCTTAAAGCCAACCCCAAAAATTTTAGTGGCAAGCTTTGCAAAGGCATGCAGAGACACATCATTCACACCTACACCACATACAATGCTCTGGTGATAATTGATTTTGACCCCAGAACAAACTTCAAAGCATCAAAAGAGTCTTTTGACAATCACCACCTGGTCCATATCAACCTTATAAAAGAGGATTGAGTCATCAGCAAATTGAAGGTGAGATAAAATAACCTCATTAACCCCAACCGAAACACCATGAAGGATGTCAAGATTTAGTGCTTTATTCAGGAGAATATTAAGCCCCTTAGCCACTATATTGAAATGGAAGGGTGCCAATGGGTCACCTTGCTGAAGTCCTCTTTGCAGTGAGAACTCATTAGTTGGTGAGCCATTGACGAGGATGGAAATTCTGGATGTAGATACGCAGGCTTTTATCCAAAAAGGGTGAAACACACTCTTCTTAAGATTTGTTTAAAATACGAATTCCCTTATATAGTTTTGAAAATTATATCCTGCCCCTTCAAAATTTTAATATCATAACAAATGACCACTTTTATTAATAAATTATTATGTTAATTAATAGTTTTTAATGATGTAAAAAATATATTTAAATTAATAATTTTGATGAATTTATTATTGCGTAAGAGAGTAGTTAAGAATTTTATTTTGACTATTAATCATGTTAAATAAAAAATTATGACAAGGCATATTTGTAATTTTTAGAATCACATTAGGCAATTCATACTTTAAACAAATTTCAAAGGTGTATTTGTAATTTATCCAAAGATATATCACTATTCTCACATAATATGTGGTAGTGATATTTTTATAATTAAATATTATTTTAATAAATATTTTATTTCAAAATGATAAGTTTTATTGCTTTTCTATCTATTTTTGTGGGGGGTATGTTGATGGTGCAGGTAGGATAACAAAGAAAGTAAGTCATATTAGGTGGATGTGACAGTCACAAAATAATTATCGTATAAATTAAAAAAATTGTGTATGACACACACTAAATACATTAATGAATTTTCACAATACACAGTCGAATTGCATCAGCATAAAAATGTAAATTTTACCATTGAAAATCCGTTTTTCCTTATTTGTTTAGGGACATGTCATTTAGATTAGATTAATAATTTAATATAAAAACATAATTCCTATTTGATTAAGAGAATTGTGATTGAGATTAGGGTGAATTATACTAATAGTCCCTATAATTTAAGATTTGTGTTACTTTAATATGTTGATGGTGCAGGTAGGATAACAAAGAAAGTAAGTCATATTAGGTGGATGTGACAGTCACAAAATAATTATCGTATAAATTAAAAAAAATGTGCATGACACACACTAAACACATTAATGAATTTTCACAATACACACAGTCGAATTGCATCAGCATAAAAATGTAAATTTTACCATTGAAAATCCGTTTTTCCTTATTTGTTTAGGGACATGTCATTTAGATTAGATTAATAATTTAATATAAAAACATAATTCCTATTTGATTAAGAGAATTGTGATTGAGATTAGGGTGAATTATACTAATAGTCCCTATAATTTAAGATTTGTGTTACTTTAATCCCTGACCTTTTAATTGTGATACATTTGACCATAAATTTTGAATATCGTTTCAAATAAGGACAATTAAAGAAATTGTTACTTCATTTGAAGGGCAAAGTTGTCATACAACATATTTTGTATTCGTTAACTTATACGTTATTTGAAATATTGTAGACACAAATTTTAAAACATGAAGTGTTTCAACACATGTCAAAATTTTATGTTACAAATGTCCACTGTTTAGTTTTTTGACTAAACAGTGTTGATTATTTGAATAGCAGGTTCTTATTTTCGATCTGTATTTCAGATCGTTAATTACACATTTTATACAAATGAAACCTCCGATTAATGAAAAAACAAAATAAACAACAAAAGACAATTTTTGAAAAAAAGAAATATTTTATTGAGATTGTTATGGGTTTTAAACCCTCGAATACAAAATACAGTTTGGGTTTGGAACTCTTTACCTATTCATCGCCATTAGCGTAGGCTCTTGAGTTCTCTAAGCTTATTTTCTTCTTTCTTGTAATGATTTGTTTAGCTCTCAATTTCTTTCTCTCTCTCTCTCTGATCTTTTCACTTCTGATTCTCTGATCCCACGTCTTGTGTGATGGTCCTCATATTTATGGAGGGCCATCAGGTGATAGGAATGTTTCATCTTCAATTTGAATTTTAAATTGAATGATATTTGAATTTCAAATTGGATGATAGCGCCATTTAAATTTTGAATAATAGCGCTATCTGATTAATCGTATATCTGATTAACCGGATTGATCTTTGGGGTTTCATCATGTGTGGTGTCCTTGCTGTACGCTCTACAAGTGTCATCTTTCGTAGGCTCCACGTGTCATTTGAGCATCTTAAATAACGTCGTTAAGATACGACGTTGTTTTATTTATGCACTTCAATGGAGCAAGTTAATCATTTTGGGAAGTGATTGCCTACAACAATCTTATCGTAGGCTCTATGTGTGTCATTGACTATATTTGAAATTTAAACATAAATTTGGTTTAAAATTTATGTGCCAACAAATATAATGGCATTTTTTTAAATAAATAATATCGAAATTTTTTTGGTTATAAAATTCTGTTTGATTTGGATTTCAAAATCTATTTTCAATTTGTTTTCTAAGAAACTAAAAATTAAATTGGTGAAAAAAAAATTAAAAACACATCATTCTTATATAATTTTATTTTTTGGAGGGTAAAAATAATTTTTTTGATATTTATTTTCGTTAAATTATTTTTTATTTTTTTCAAACATGGCCACAGCTTTGATATCATCATTAAATCAAAAAATTGAAAACTAAAAATATTTCAAATATTAAACATATTAATTATATATTAAAAGTCTAATAATCATACATTAAACGATAACCATCCAAAAAAATCTGTACCAACAAATACAACCATCTATTACATGATAACCATTCAAAAATATCAACAAAAACTACCACTCATTAAATGATTATCATCAAAACACATACTAAAAATTAATTTGGTAAGAAATACATAAATAAAAATGTAAAAGATTTATCATTTTTATATAATTTTATTTTTGGTGAGTAGAAATAATATTTTAAAATTTAAAAATAATTTTTTGACATTTATTTTTGTCAAACTAGTTTATATTTTATAAAATTGATGACTTTCCTCTTGAAATTGATTAACAATATATTCAATTATCCTTATTTGAAATAAGATTCAAAATTCAAGGTCGAATATATCACAATTGAAATATCAGAGACCAAAATAACACAAATCTCAAACTATAAGGACCGTTAATATAATTCGCTCTTGAAATTAATAGTCTATCTAGATATCGAGATACAATATTCTCATATGCGGACTATTGAGTCCTAAAAGGAGGGGCTGAAACAAATAATTAATAATTAATAATTTAGAAGAGATTAAAATTAAATCTTTAAATTATAAAATTGTTAAGATTTTATTAATCACTCTCCCTAAATTTAATTCAAATGTTAAACAAGATATACAATATATCTATTTTTTATTTCACCCCCTCTTTTAGGACCCAATAGTTCTCATATGAGAATATCGTATATAGTATATATTTGATCATGCATGAGGGCTAAAAAAAACCTAGCCTGTGAATAGTTTCTAAAGGGGAAAATGCAAACCCTAGCTCTTGCAACAATTTTAGGGAAGAGAAAGCGGCAATTAAATCTTCCCGAAGAAATCGTTATCGAAATTCTCTCAAGGTTACCCCTCAAATCTCTTGTCAAATTCATGCTTGTTTCCAAGCAATGGCGTTCTTTGATTCAATCAAGTTCTGTGAAAAGTGTTCAACGAAACAAAGTTCTAATTTGTGGAAGGACATATCTTCACTCCATCGACAAAGCAAGTCTTGTGAAACGTGTCCTTGAACCTGTTGAAAAAATCCAATCTCATTATGACATTGAAATCTTGGGTTCTTGTAATGGGTTATTACTTATTTGGTTGTTGCGTATTCGGATTATCAATGATTTGTTCTTGTGGAATCCGCTCACCAAGTGTTCGAAGAAAGTCCTCTCATATCATCAGTTACGGGATAGTGACTACGGTGTTTTTTCTGGGCTTTGCTTTGACTCCTCGAATAATGAGTACAAGGCTGTAATGGCATTTTCTCATGAGACTCCAAGTTGTGGATTGGTTGTAATTGGTAGTTTTCAAAACAAGACTTGGACAGTTGTTCACTTCCCATACCATGTTTCTTGTATGAAATCGAGTCCTATTGTGAATGAAAATCTACATTGGTTTGCTTCTAAAGAAAGTTGGGGTCACTTCTTCGCACCCTATCAAATCATTTACTTCAATCCACGGAAGAATATATTCAAGAAGTTACCAATGCCACAACCTAAGGATGGACATGGAGATATTCTACTCGGTTTGGGAGTTTTAGAAGGATGTCTTTGTATGGTTCGCTCTTGTCAGCACCCAACTAATCGTATGGATAGAGTTGAGGTGTTGGTGATGAAGAAATATGGTATCAAAGAATCTTGGACTACCATGTTCATTCTATCAAATTTGCCTAACTTGCGTATTTATGATAATGTAGCACCATTGTGTTTCACAAAGAATGGTGAGATTCTAATGAAAATTGGCAGGAACCATGTAAGAGCATATAATCCTAACGACAACTGGCAAAGGGATATTAGGATTCCAACCGAGGGTCCCTAATTCTATGCAGCTGTGTATGAGGAAAGTTTAGCTTCACCTATTGATCACAATTGGGAAGCGAAAGAGTTGAGAGGAGATGCAAGATATGTGGAAAATTCCCTTTCAAGCTCTTGGCGAAAAATGAGAAAGGTAATAAGGGCGGGTGTTTCGGCATATGAGGTTGAAGGGAGAGGATATAGAGAGTCAGACTCAGAATATATGATGGATAACTATAAGAGGAGAAATTGACTTGACTTCATTTTTATAGTTTTCATTTAAAAAAATTCTCTAATCTTTGACTACATTTTTATTATTTCAGATTTATTTTGATTTCGTTTGTTTTTGTGATTAATAACTTTAAATTAGTTTATCATAAAGTAGGCAGGTTAGCTGGTTCATTAGGTCATGTTAGTGAGCCAAGAAGAGTAGATGGTGCATGGAGGATAACAATATGATCTTGTTTGGTAGATTAGATTAAGGAAATAAAAGCATAAGTAATACCACTTCTTACATATATTTATTTTTAGTACCATAAAATTGTTGAATGAGATTATATATGCCATGTGATTGTTTGATTAAAATGGGATAAAATTTTGAAAGAGTATTTATGACATTAAATAGTAAAGGAAAGATAATTTGGAAAGGGAACTAATTGTCCCAAGGGAGTGATGGGACTCTAATAGAGCCAAACAAACACTGAATTTGCAAATTCATCTCTTGATACATACTTATATATATTGAGAGTTTTTTTTTTTTTTTTTGATAAATTCTCTTTCTAAGAGTTTTATTCCATCAAACTCATATTCTTTCTGACTATTCCATTAGATCCTATTTGAGGGAAGAAGACCAAAACACCCTCAATCTCTCATGTCCCCTATTAAGGTTGATATTTAATGTTGATTGTTATTATGTTTTGGTAGTTCTCATGCATCAGGATATTGACTGTCATTATATTTATATTAATTTGAAATGAATTTTTGCCATTGTGTTATCAATTACATGATGTGAATATTCATTCTAAAACATACAAATGTAAACATTCACATCACTACATGTTGTGAATAAAAATGTGTTGTTAATTACAAATATAATGAACGTTATTTTTAATGTGTTATCAATTAAAAATAAGAAGGTTCACATGTTGTGAACGTTCACATCACTACATTAGATGAGAGAGAATTTTTTGAAAAGGTGTTGTAAACATTCACATTAGATGAGAAAGAATGTTCACATTATTTTTAATGTGTTGTCAATTAAAAATATATTCACATCAGATGAGAGAGAATGCGGACATTGTTTTTAATGTGTTGTCAATTAAAAATAATATAAAATAATAACGTCAATGCTATTTAATTTGTGTATGAAATTTCTTATGTCTTGGTCCTTTCCCTTCTCTCTCATTCCCCAACATTAAATATCAACATTAAATATCGGGTTTATGGAGTGGGTGTGTTAGATGAATCTCTAGCTTCATTTGCATCTATTTTGAATTGCAAGATCAAGAAGCTGCCTATGCAATATTTAGGCCTGCCTCTTGGGGCTAATCCTAATAGAAAGCAAACTTGGAAACCTGTGCTGGATAAGATTCGTAGCAGGCTAGCTAGCTGGAAAAGAAAGCTCTTATCGTATGCGGGGAGGTTAACCTTAATCAAATCAGTAACTGCTTTGCTGCTAGTATAATATTTATCCTTGTTTAGAGTACCTCAAGGGGTAGCTAAAGTAATTGAAAGGCTGCAGGCTGCATTCCTTTTAGGGGGGGTCTGAAGTGAGGAGGAGGGTTCACTAGGTAAAATGGGCTAATATGTCCAAAAGTGTGGATCAAGGGGGGCTGGGGCTGAGAAGAGTAAAAATGATGAATGACTATCTACTAATCAAATGGTGGTGGAGGTTTGGGTATGAAAAAGATGCACTGTGGAGGAAGGTTATTTGTAGCAAGTACAAGGTCGACTTTAGTGATTGGGTACCCTCTTCTTGTACAAGGCCTAGTGCATCTACTGTTTGGAAAGGTATAATCAATTTTGCCTTGTTTGATAGCCCACTCCTGCAGTTCTACATGAATAATTGGCAGCTAAAGGTTGGGGATGGGAGTAGAGTATGGTTTTGGTTGGATAAGTGGTGTCATGCCACCTGCTTCAGAGAGGAATATCCTGGCTTATTTTCTTTAATTCTAGATAAGGAGGTGTCACTAAGAACAATGTATGAGAGAAAGGAAATTGCAGGGAACTGGGTGTTTAATTTTAGAAGAAGGCTATATGATTGGAAAGATTGTGAGGTCACAAGGCTCAAGAATCTCCTGGGGTCAGCACCTGCTTTGGGGGTCAATCAGATTGATAAACCAATGTAGTTAGCAGCAACAACAGAGGTATTCTTAGTGTCTTCTCTATACCATGGGGCTTCTGTGAGTGCTAGCTCTCAATTGAGTATCTGTAAACTAGTTTGGGTGAAATACTTGCCTCCTAAAGTCCAATTTATGGGATGGCTTGCATGGCTGGGTAGACTTAAGACTTTAGTTTTCCTCCAAAGAATTGGTGTGCTTTAAGGTAATGTATAAAATCTATGTGTATTTTGCAAAGCTGAGTGTGAAACTGTAAACCATGTCATGGTGTCCTGCTGTTTTGCATCATCTGTGTGGGTTGAAATGCTGAATTGGTGGAATGTCCAAGGGGCCTTACCTGGAACTATTGAGGGGTTGCTTCTTTGGTGGGATGGGGAGGTGCTCAGCAGTAAGGAGAGGAAAATTTGGAGGGGCATACCTCCGGTTGTGTTATGGTCCCTGTGGCAGCTTCGAAATGATGTGGTGTTCAATGTTGCCATCCCTAATGTAGCTGCGTTATGTGAAGTGATAAAAGTCAGGGTTGCACTGTGGCTGAGACCGTATTATTTAGAACATTGTTTTTTAGTGCAGGACTTTGTGATTAATCTTAGGCAAGTGAGAAGGTGTATTTCAGGAAGAAGTGTCTAAGGAGGAAAATGGTATGGCTCGTATGACTGTGAAGTGCATTATTCTCAAGGTGTGGAGGGTAGAGTCTGATCTGGGTGAACTACTCTGCTTGCTGTGGTTTTTGACTAATTTGGGTGGAACTCCTGCTCTGTCCTCTAGATATTTGATGGACACAATGGGTCTATTGCTTCTATATACTCCAAGGAGAATCTTTTGAATAATGTTTTGGCTGGTATTCCATCAGATCTCAATAGAGATGAGTGGGTTGCAGCATTGCCAAGGGCTTCGGTTGCAGGGTTTGTAAAAACTGATAAGGATTTTCAAGAGCAAGGTATGGGTTGTTTCTATGTTAGGTCTTATCATCATGCATTCCTAATCTGGTCATATCATGTTCAAGAGAAACAGTCATGTGGGTTGGGTCTGCCCAGCTTGCTTAGTCTGCTCAGCCAACAGCAGAATTGCTGCAGCTGATCTCATATGGTGGCTTTGTGCTTCGTGCTTTGTTACTTTGAAGCATTGTGGCAGCAACAATATAGTTTTCCTTCAACCTGATCTCCCCATATGGTGCCTTATTACTTTAGGTGGCTCTGTTTTGTTGAGATGATCTGGTCTGTTACTACATTTTTGGGTTTGCATTTTGATATGATTTTCTTCTGAACTGGTTTTATTCTATGGTTGCGTTGCTGTGCAGATTATGCTATCATAATGAGCTCTAGGAATTTAAAAAGTGGTTGCTCAGCATACAGGGCCGTATATCAGACTTTGCTTAGGTGCTACGTTTTGTTGGTCTCTCACCAACTTGGGGGTGCTAGCAAATGATAGGATGAGTTAGTTGGAATCATTTAGCTCATTGTGATGCTTTTGCATTCCCCTTTTCTTTATTGATGTAATTTGTCTTGTACCTTGTACTTGTTTATTCCATCAATAAATTTTCTTTTTTGCCGATCAAAAAAAAAAAATCAACATTAAATATCAATATTAAATATAATGGCATAAGAGTCGAAAAAAATGGTATATATCAAGAAAAATGACTTAATGGAATAAAAGTATGAATACATGGGACTAAGTAGGTTAAAAAATTCCTTCATGGATTTCTTGGATTAGAACACTTCTAAATGAGATTTATCAATAAAAATCCCATATATATTACGGATAAGAATTTCTTCCTGTCTGTGCAATAGCCGTGGTTTTGCTCCTTTTGGTTCATTTGCTATCCAGATTTATCAATAGTGTGGATTGGTGTTTCAAGCCCAGTTGGTGGTCCTATTTCTGAACAGGATTTGCTCCCTTTTTTTGGTGTTTTATCAATAGTGTGGATTGGTGTTTCAAGCCTAGTTGGTGGTTCTTTTCCTGATTTCCCTATGTTCCAGAACAGATTTTGGTGGAGTTTGCTCAAATTTTGGTGATTATTCTCTGTGCAATATGTTGATCTGCAGTCTGCTCTGTTGCTCTTCTTTGCAGTTTGGATGAAGCTTAGTTGGTCTGCTATATTGTTAGTTGTGGTTGCTCTTTTATTTCTATTTCTTTTGTTTTGTTTGTTAGTCTCTCACCAACTAGCGCTTGGAGCTTCAGTTAGCTCCAAGCTCCTCTTTATTGATGTTCTATATCCTTTTTGCATACTTTCATCAATAAAGATTTCTTTGCCGATAAAAAAAAAAATTATATGGTTTTTTTATTGATAAATCATATTTAGAGGTGTTCTAATCCAATAAATCCACTAAGGAAAATTATAACTTAATTAGCCCCATATATTTATACTTTTATTTCATGAGGTCTTTTTTTCCTGATTTATATTGTTTGTTGGACTATTATACTTTTATGTTTATTGTTGATGTGTATTACATAGAATAACGATATACACATTTTCTTTTGTTATATCTATTTTGGTAGTTACATTATTCACGTTTTTCTTTTTGATTAGTTTCATTTACATTTGTGATATTTTTTTATTGTATTAGAATTTCGAAACTTTTTATTTGGTAGGGTGTAGAAACTTTAGTTTACACATAATGGTGAAATAATATTATATTCCTCCATTGTCACTTTGTGTTCGAAGTTCTGTATTCATTCATTGTTGTTATGTGTTCAAAACTTCATGTTTCTCCATTGTTGTAAGTTGAAACTCTATTTATATCTAGTCAATTTTGTTACAAACATATTTTTCAAAGGTAGATTTGGTTTGATTTGGATTGGTGGAATGGTGAAATTGCATGCATTGTTAATGATAGTAATTGTACGGGAAAGAAATAAACATTCTCATATAATCCTGCTGATCAAGTCTACGCTCCTCCGTACATCGTTGCTTTACTCCCTGAAAACACAAACCTGAGCTAGCCGGCGGGTGTGTGCCGGATACCTCTCCGATGCCTAAGTCAGCAAAAATAGACAAATAGACAAAGCTCTGTGTATTCGAGAATCAAAGTTGTGTTACCTCTCCATAGGTGATGTTATGAGCTTTTATAGGTTCTGCGTGGCACAATCCTCGTAGGACTCTTACTCCTCCATGTAGAGTCCTCCTAGGAATCACATTCCCGAAAAATAATACTTATCCTTCAACACCTCCATCACTGCTTAAACCAAGTAAGATGGTTTTACCTAGGTCGGATATCAATACGACCGGGATAACGTGGCCATGCTAAAGCCGTAGACTAGACCGGGCTCCACCTAGCTCGGTTCTTCCTTTCGCAGCGTGTACCTCGGTTCGACGTGCTCCAACCAGGCTGTTGAGATCATGCTAACCATACTGAGCTAGGACCGAATTAACCCATAGCATGGTTCTGAGGAAGGCTTAACATACTTTGGCTCAATATGGTATGACCGGGCTAACTGTTACCACGCCGACCGTGGTGACTGAGCTAACCACCAAGCTCTTTCGAACCGGGCTAACTGCAAGGCTCCTCTGGACCGGGATAACAATAAGGTGTTCTCAGGACCGGGCTAACTCCAAGCCCCTGTTTATCTGGCCCTTCTTATCGTGGCCTAATGAACGGCCCATTACCCAGCTCGGCCTAATTTATATATAAATTACCCTCTCAATTGCCCCTTAATTCCATTTGCATAGCATGATAGGGATTACCTGTTACCTGCCGAGCTAAAAACTTACTATCGAGCTATACTCTTTAGCCTTTCCAACCGAGCTTAAAAAACCCTTTAGCCTTTCTAGCCGAGCTAAATTTGCACTGGGTTCTATCTGTCCGGTCAAAGTGTTTCTTCAATCGCTTCTTATTCTAAGGACACGTGGTATGCTCTCATTGGCTGAAGGCAGCTGTCACGCTGTCTTCGTACCTCGTGTTTTTTGAACAGTTCCCGCCTTTTCGTTCTTCCTTCTACACAAAACAGACCCTTGTTTTGAATCACTCTCATACTATTCATCTCCTTCTCTCTCTCTCGTCTTTGAGCCTCTTTTGTTCTTCAATCTTGTAACTGCGAAGCTCTTGCCTCGTAGTGCCATTTCCATCTTCCAGTGCCGCTTGTCCTAGTAAGTTACTCAAATCTCTCTTGTTTTTGTTGTTTTTTGCACTTGCTTTCTACAATCCATAGCATAGTGTTTGTGTTTTTGCAAAACATATTACTACCATTTTCTGCTTGGGCTTGCATTTTCTAGAAAAAACTTAGTAATAGAATCACTTGTATTCACGAAATAATCTGAGAAACACTGGTTTCGATCCAAAATCACAATATAACCGAACTAAAAAGTTGTTTGCATCTAATGTCAAACTAGCCAAACTAACCAACCGAA